TCATTCTACGAACAACTTGTAATCATTAAGTATTTCATTCCAAATGTCGTAATGCACTAACTGACCTATACATTACATTACAATGACAACAACCGAGAATATATAACAGTAATAATAATGATGATAATAATAACGAAACAAATATTGAATGGAACAATAACAATGACTGGTAAAATTCACATCCTCCTACCATCAATTAAAGGCAATTAATCACATTCTGATAACGCCAATTCAATAATCATTGAAAACAAATTTAAAGCTCACTGTGTTCCTCTTCAACCTTGGTTGGTTTCTCTTCTTTTTCCTCCGACGTCGACTCCTTATCCTCAGCACTCACCTCATCTTCTGCCTTCTCGCTTGTGGTAGTAGTTTCGTCCACCTCTGGCTCTGTTTCTATGGCCTCATCCAAGGGTATATCCAACGATTGACGGAGAAGCTGAAATTCACGTTTACAGATCTTTCAATGAGGTCGACATGCTCTACATTCAATTTTTATTCGCAGTTCGAATGAAACTCTCATATGGGCAATACGGTTCTGTATCATAGCTATTGAATATTCTACGAACCGTGCTTCCGCCAACAATGTGCTCTGATGGCCGAATGCATCATGAGTTATTGATATTTTGCATTCATTTATTATGATTATACTTGATAAACACAAAGATAGAGTGCTTCAGAATTTGCGGAAAAAATGGATGGGTAAGAGGACCCTTTTTAGATACAATTTTATATAATCCTATCATCCATTGAAACATTTCAGTACTCTTCAAATTGAACGAAATTGTAAAGTGTAATCAAAATACTAATGCAAAAAAAACTAATCTGTTGAAACCAAGAATGCTAACGAAACAAAAATACACTAACCTGTTCCACTCTTGATGTGAATCCAACTTGATCTTTGAGAACGTATCCAGAACGAAGCGTTGCTGTTTCGAAGAGCAGTTTTGCAGTGGACAAAGCTTTCGGATCCTCCGGGTCACCTTCGACACGTCTCAACAACTCTTTCACAATCGGATGACGCGGGTTGATCTCGAGAGTCTTCTTTTGGTTGGCGTAGAATTCCTGCAATCAGCTCATCATTCATCTTCACTCATTATCGTCAATTTGCACAGAACAAAAAATGAAAGACATTTTATAAAGTCGAAGTGACTTGCACAGTAAGTTAATAAATCATACAAAATCGAATTACTTAAAACGGAATCAGCGCATAGTCACTTTTCGAACCGCCAAACTTATACGAAGAAGAAAAGATAGGAAATGAAAAAAAAACGAATTCAAAATGTACCTGAGATGCGTCTCGTGCCTTTGCGTATGCTTGTGACTTCATGATACGTTCCATATTGCCAGACCAGCCATATGACGAAGCCACCAGAGCAGATGGTGATGTGGTAAGGCGTTGAGATACAACTGCTTTCTCAATTTCGTCCTGAATGATAAATTTTTGTTGCAGTTAAATTACGATTTCAGAGTGAATATATATACGACATCGACAACCATTTACTTCTTTCGCTTGACATTCTCTTCAAAACTGCTCAATATTCTCAACAAAATTCGTGATTTAAATGTTCTTTCAGCAAAAGAAATTTTCAAATTTTCTTCTTCGTCAATAACCATATCTTTAGGGAATGTTCTGCTTCTCAAAAGCTTCCATATGAAAGACGATAAAACGAATGTATACAAATGAATAATTGCCTCGATGCA